CACGCCCGCCGACGCGCCGGGCGAGGAGCGCCTGGGCGTCAGCGGCGAGTCGAGGGACAAGGCGCGGGGCCTGCGGGCGGACGGGGTGGGCTCAGGGCGCAAGAGCGAGCCGTCCCTGTTCTGCCCGTCGTCCCCCGCCGGCGACCTGGTGGACGGCGGGCGGCGCCACACCCTGCCCGGCCCGCGCCTCTACGGGAGCCTGTCCCTCCTGTCGGCGCCCGCGCCCACCTTCACCACCTCCTCCTGGGAGACGCTCCCGCCGGCGGACGAGCTCGAGGTGGAGCTGGAGGAGAAGCCCATCTCGAGCTCGCTGGACGAGCGCCCGCTCTCGCCCTCGTCCCTGAGCGGCGCCTCCTCGCGCTCCCTCAACTCGTCCCTGTCGTCCCTGTCGCACCTAAGCGTCCACCGCGACCACTCGGAGTGCGACTCGTGGCCGTCCTCGCCCGTCGCGCACAACCTCACGCCCGAAGTCTTCCTCGACCCGAGCAACATCCTCGGCGCCCCGCGAGGCGAGCCCGCTAGCCAGGCCGCTTGCGAGCCCAAGGCGAAGGACGCCCACAAGCCCAAAGAAGCGCCGGCGGGCACCCATGGCGCCGCCGCCAGCGTCTCCTGCACGCCCTCGCCCGAGCCCATCACGGGCGTGCTGCAGCTGTCGCCGGCGGGCGCGCACAACGGCAACATCATCTTCTCCGTGTCGATCCCCGAGACCCGCCGCGAGAAGGGCGTGGCGTGCAGCCCGGGGGACGCCGGCGCCAAGCCCGGCGCAGCGACCCGGCACCTGAAGGACAGCACCACGAAGGTGCTTCGAGGACCACCGACCTTCTCGCTGCCGAAGGAGAGGGCCGAGGACGACGCCAGGACGACCGCCGCCAAGGACTGCAGCAACAACAACTCCGCCACGACCCAGGACGCCAACCGCTGCAGTCGAAGCGCTAAGGACGACACCCACGACCCCCGTACGGCGAAAGACACGACGAAGGCCGCCAAGAGTATCATGGAGAGGTCCCGAAGCTTCTCCTTGGACGAGACGAGTCGTGCCCAAGGGTCGTCCGGCAGGAGGATGGTCAGCTCGGCCTCGCAGTCGGTGAGTTACGCGCCTAAACGGACGGCTCCCGTCGCGGGCGTCGGTCGGTCTGTCTCTGTCTCTGCCTTTCTATTCTTATCTGTTCATTATCTATCCTTATCTATTCTCTATATATCTATTTATTATTATATTTACTGATTAGTCGAAGGGTTCCCAACCTGTGGGCGCGGGGTACTTCCTGGACTGATCTGTCTCTCCATCTATTTATGCTTCTATGTAATTGCATAAATATACAGTATGTATATATATATATATATATATATATATATATATATATATATATATATATATATATATATATATATGTATATATGTATGTATGTATGTATAAGTATGTACATGTTTATGTGTATATATGCATATATGTATGTGTGTTTATATATATGTATATGTATATATATATATATATATATATATATATATATATATATATATATATATATATATATGTATATAATATGTATATATATGCATATATATGTATACACATACATACACAGACATATGTACACAAAGAAAATGAAAAAAATATAAACAACAAAACTCTACGGCAATGCAACGCCGATTTGGCTTTCTTAGATCTCAACGAGATGGGTTGATGGCTCTGATAGTTTTCGCAAAGCATTGAAATTTCTGTCTTTTCATTATCTCTTAGTTTCTCTTTCTGTTTTTCGTTTCTTCTTCGTTGTCGATCTGTTTACCTATGTCTTTGTATCTAATCTTTAAAAATCCATCTTTATTTTCATTTCACTCCTCTTTATTGCTATTAAAAATTCTTCATCTTTTTATCCCTCTTTTTACTCCCAATCGCCATCTTCTCCCTCGCAATCTTTATATATTTCTGTTTCTCTCTATCGTCAATTATTATTCTCTCTCTATCTTTCAATATCTCCTTCTCACTCCCTATCTGTATTTTCTTTCTATTTTCATGTTCTACACTCTCCCTCTCTTTCTATTTTTCTATTTTTCTCTATCGTCTTATTCTTTCTGCTTATCTTTTTGTTTCTCTTAATTGCCATCTTCTACTCTCTCTCCATCTTTCTATCTCTCTATTTCTCTCCATCGTCATCTACAACTTTCTCCCTCTTTTTCTATCTCTCAATTTCTCTCTCTCTCTCTCTCTCTCTCTCTCTCTCTCTCTCTCTCTCTCTCTCTCTCTCTCTCTCTCTCTCTCTCTCTCTCTCTCTCTCTCTCTCTCTCTCTCCCTCCCCTCCTCTCTCTCTCTCTCTCCTCTCTCTCTCTCTCTCTCTCTCTCTCTCTCTCTCTCTCTCTCTCTCTCTCTCTCTCTCTCTCTCTCTCTCTCTCCTCTCTCTCCTCTCTCCCTCTCTCCCTCCCTCCCTCCCTCCCTCCCTCCCTCCCTCCCTCCTCCCTTGGCCCAGCAACAGTCTGCTTTGTGAGAGATAGAGAGTCTTTGGTCTTTCGTGGAAACTACTTCATTAACATGAAGGAATGCAATCTTTCTCTGTGTTTATTTCTTTATTTATTTCTGTTGCTTTCGCTTTCTCTCTATTTTCTTTATTTTTCATCTATTTTCCTTTCTTTTCTTTTCGTTTGTTCTCTTGTCTTCTCCCCTTTTTTCTTTTCTTCTCTTCTCGGCTTTGCTAAGTCCATTCTCCTTTTCCTTGTCCTTCCTTCTTAGTCTCCTTCCCTCTCTTCTTCCCTCCCTTCTGCTTCCCCTCTTTCCCTTCCCCTCCTTCCTTCCCTCTTTCCCTCTTCTTCCCTCCCTCTCTTCCTTCTGCCTTCCCTCCCTCCTTCCCACCTTCATTCCTTTCCTACCCTCTACCCACATCCTCTCCTTCCTCCTCTAAACTTCATCCTCTATCTCTATAATTATCTAAAAACGAAAAAAACGATAAATATACTACTTCACTCATTTACTTCACATCAACCCAAAACCATTCCATATATAAAAAACTCAATATTTTTATATATATATATATATATATATATATATATATATATATATATATATAAACCGCACCCATAGCTCGCCAAACTCAAGCTGAAATCCGAAGCAAGCCGAAAAACTTGAGTCAAAAATGTATATCAACGCGAGTCTTGTGTGCGTTGTTTATGGGGCCGAGAAATACAGTCTCCAGGTGGAATTCAAGAGGGTGTGATAAACTCTCTTTTTTTCATTTATTTTTATTCATTTATGTCTGTTTATTGATTCATTTGTTTTTTATTTCCCTGTTTGTTTGTTTGTTTTCCATTTGAGGGTGTGATAAACTCTCCTTTTTCATTTATTTTTATGTATTTATGTCTGTTTATTGATTTATTTTTTTTTTATTCCCTTATTTATTTATTCGTTTTCATTTATTGGGGGTGTGATAAACTCTCTTTTTTTATTCATTTATTTTTATTTATTTATGTCTGTTTATTGATTTGTTTATTTTTTATGCCCCTATTTATTTATTCATTCTCATTTATTGATTTAATTTTCGTTTTTTTTGTTTTTGTTTTGTTCTTTTCATGTTCTATCCGTTCTGAATTATATTGGCGATATTCCACGTCTGGGCGGGATTGTTCATTTGTTTTAGCTCGGGAATAACGATATGTTTGGGGGAAATTTTCAGGAGTAATATTTGTCTTTAGATTAAAATGTCATTATTATATTGTAGTGTGATAATATCCTTTTTAGTATTATCTGTAATCTGAGAATATGTAAAGAAAAATAAACTAGATACATGTAGGGAAATACGTTACATGAACATTTTTTAACAAAACATTTTTTAAGTGCTATGTCGATTTTAAGATTTAAAACAATAATAATTGTAATGAAATGGAATTAAACACATGTCCATGACTCACATTCAAAATTACTTAACGTTATCTACAGAGCTATCATCATCTCATAAAAAAATATATAAAAGAGTCTTACGCTTATACTACACTATAAAACTGTCTTCTATATGAAATACAACGAAAATAACCTTGAAATATTGAACATAAAACAACAGCATCTTAACGTTTGACTGACAGGCATAAGACTACAACCTCTTAGCCTTTGAATTCCAAAACCTCAGGTGCCTTGTAGTATTATTCCGGTTTTATTTATATCATCGTAATCATAGATGGCTCTGCTAGTGCTCAGCCACAAGGAGTCAATTAGTAGACCCGGTGACCATACCTTTCCTTGAAGTGGCGGGATTTTTTTTGTTTTTGTTTTTTTTTACTATTGCTATGAATATCTTATATATATATATATATATATATATATATATATATATATATATATATATATATATATATATATATATATATATATATATATATGGTGTTATTTTTATCATAGACATTATAATTACTATAATTTATAGGACATTCGTAACAGAAATATAAGACAACGTAAAATATTTTCGAAAATCAAAGGAAAGGGTAAACAGGCGAGACAGTACTCGTAATTGGCTCATTGGTGACTTGGTCCAGGGGTAGCCATCTATGCGTAAAAACAATTAATAAAGAAAACTCACAGTGGGCATGACATGTACATACATGCCATGCCCGTCGATTTGGGTTAACATCTTTATCATCTTCATAATCATTACCGTAATCATAATTAAAAAATAATTAATGATTATTATAGTCATAATTAAAATCATTATCATTGTCATTGTCATTGTCAGTATTAGTATCAGTATCAGTATCAATAGCTATACACAAGCGATTAGCCAACTATAGATATAATGGAGATTTTTTAGGCTGGGAATACTTTACAGAATATACAAAGGAAAAATATAGACTTAGCCTTCAAAAATAGCACACACGCATGCACACATTCTCTCTCTCTCTCTCTCTCTATCTATCTATCTATCTATCTCACACAGACACGATTTGTTGTTGTTGTTTAATGGGTCGTTGTTTTCTGTTTCTTTTTTCCATCTAATCTTTTTATTCAATAGTTTATTAATATTATGTTTACATTGTTGATTTATATTTCCCTATTTTTCTATTAAACACATTTAAAGATTTCTTATCGTCTTGGTTTTAAAGATTAATTAATTGTGTTGCTTTCGTCTCCCCGCAGGCGGCGCCCGAGGCGCTGGACGACTTCCTGCGGGCGGTGGAGTCGCGCATCCGGCGGGGCAGCGAGGGGCCGCCCTCCCTCCCCTCCACGCCCGCCTCCACTCCCGCGTCCACGCCGGCCTCCGCCCGCCCGCGCTCCTCCATCTCGCCCACGGTGGTGCTCGACGCCTTCACGCAGACAACGCCGGCGCCCACGCCGCCCGCCACGCCCCCCGGCGCCTCCAGGTCGTCGTCCGTGACGTGGCTGAGCGAGTGCGGCTGCGACGACCTGGCCTCCCTCGAGCCATGCCCGTCGTCGCTGGTGCTCAGCGCCACTGAGGACGACTACGACGATGACGACGCCGGCGACGACGAGGACGACGAGGACGAGGAGGACTGGTCGCCGGGGCTGTCGCTGTCGTCGTCGTCGCCGCCGCCCACGCCCGCCTCCATGACGCGCGACGACTCCTCGCTGTCGCTGTCGGAGTCGCTCGACGCCCTCGACATCAACGGCGAGTCGGGCATTGGCACGGTGTCCACGCGCCCGTCCGCCAGCCCGCCCTCGCACGCGCACGCCGCCCTCGACCTGTCGGGCTCCAACCTGTCCTCGGAGGACACGGGCCTCGAGAACAGCTTCGAGCGCCAGATCCGCCGCTACATCCCGCACGCGCGCGCGCGCGACGCCGACCACGGCGTACACTACCGCCGCCGCCGCCCGCGCCCGCGCCAGCCCGAGCAGTGGGTGCGGCGCGAGGACCAGACCACGCAGACCGACCCGCACCCGCCCACGGCGCCGCCCGCCAGCCACGACGCGGGCGGCCTGCGGCACGGGCGCGCCGCCCCGGCGGAGCGCGTCGTGCGCCACACCCACAGCGAGCCGCGGCTGGACGCGCCCCTCACGCCCCTCGGCGGCGTCCTCAGGGGCGTGTGCAGCGAGGCCGCCCTGCCGCCCACCTCGCACTCGGCGGCGCGCTCGGCTCTCACGCCCTCGGCGCCCATCCTCCCGACCCTGACGGAGGACAAGCCGCCCATCGCGCCCTCGAACCGTCCGCCGCGCCCGCGCCACCTCTCCCTCTCCAGCGGCCACCCGACGCCCACGACGGACAAGGCGTGCTCGGCGCCCACGCTCGAGATGCGCTCGCCCGCCGCCCACGCGCCGCACACGCCCGCCACCACGCCCTCGGAGGACTCGTCGGGGGAGGCGCCGGTAAGTCACTGACGGGGTCGCTGAACGAGGAATGGAAGGCTGAAGGGTGACTGATCGAACGCTGAGTGACTGGAAGGCTGACCCACTGCATGACTGACTGACTGATCGAAAGGCTGAATGATTGGCCATTAGGAAGGCTGACTTACTAATTGACTGATCTAAAGACAAAATGAATGCCTGGTCGACTGATCGGAAAACTGACTAAGTGACTGACTGATCGGACGGTTGACTGACTGGTTAATCAAAATACTGCCTGATCGGAAGGCGCGTTGAATCGGCCGAGAGGAAAGGCACGAGAGGGCGCCCGTGCTCCCCCGCCCGCTCATTTGGCCGCCGATTAACTTAACTCTCATTAACCGACGCGCCTTTGTTCGTCCTCAACTCTCCTGGTCGCCTGTCTGTGCGCTCCGTGCGAAATGCTACTCTCATTGCTCTGCTCTGTCTGTTCTGTGTATTACATTCTCTCTCTCTCTCTCTCTCTCTCTCTCTCTCTCTCTCTCTCTCTCTCTCTCTCTCTCTCTTCCTGCCTCCCTCTCTATCTCTCTCTCCCTCTCCCTCTCCCCTTCCTTCTCCCTCTCCCTGTACCTCTCCCTCTCCCTCCCTCCCTCCCTCCCTCTCCCTCCCTCCCCTTCTCCCTCTCCCTCTCTCTCTCCCTGTACCTCTCCCTCTCCCTCTCCCTCTCCCTCTCCCTCCCTCTCCCTCCCTCTCCCTCCCTCCCTCTCCCTCCCTCCCTCCCTCTCTCCCTCCCTTCCTCCCTCCCTCCCTCCCTCCCTCCCTCCCTCCCTTCCTCCCTTCCTCTCCCTCCCTCCCTTCCTCCCTCCCTCCCTCCCTCCCTCCCCCCCTCCCCTTCTCCACCCTCTCTCTCTCTCTCTCTCTCTCTCTCTCTCTCTCTCTCTCTCTCTCTCTCTCTCTCTCTCTCTCTCTCTCTCTCTCTCTCTCTCTCTCTCTCTCTCTCTCTCTCTCTCTCCCCCCAACCTATTCATATCCTTCACACATATTATTTCGTGTCGTTCCAATCCAGAAAAGGGCCTATCTCACTGAATCCACATCATTAAACATATGACACAAAGAAGAACGGTCAATGGCGAAATAGCACAGTTTGCCCTACACAGGGTCCGTTTTCTGTCACTCATCCTAAAAGAGACTGTGTGTGCAGTAACGAGCGTAAATTATAGTACATCGTTTTTATTTTTAAGTCAGTGATTATTCTTTTATTTATCGATCTATTTATTGTTTGGTTTATCGTTTTTTCTCATCTTTTAGTTGACAATATCATAGATTTAATATCTCACAGGGTGCGCGCGTGTATGTGTGTGTGTTTGTGTGTGTTTGCGTGTGTGTGTGTGTGTGTGTGTGTGTGTGTGTGTGTGTGTGTGTGTGTGTGTGTGTGTGTGTGTGTGTGTGTGTGTGTGTGTGTGTGTGTGTGTGTGTGTGCGCGAAAGAGAGAGAGAGAGAGAGAGAGAGAGAGAGAGAGAGAGAGAGAGAGAGAGAGAGAGAGAGAGAGAGAGAGAGAGAGAGAGAGAGAGAATAAAAAAAATATACAAGTCGTTTGATAAAATCCGACCCAATACAGACTGGTCTATTTGATAGACAAACAGACCAGCCGATGCATTAATAGACAAAGAACGGGACGGATATATATTCAATCAAAACAAACTCGAAAACTTATATTTAAATATCTAATTAATTAAAATAAACATTCGAAAAAAAAGAAAAATCTAGTATATAACTACCTTTCGTGTCTCAAAGCGATTCTGTCTCCTGCCGCGAAAGAATTCCAACGCACATATTTATAAATAGAATGTAGTTAGTTCATGGAATCATACGTTCAAAGGTTCATTGAAGAGGAAGTGAACGGAAGTGCTAAATCGAAAAATGCGAGAGAAAGTAATTGTATATATGGCCTAGATTTTTTTTTCTGTGTGTGTGTGTGTGTGTGTGTGTGTGTGTGTGTGTGTGTGTGTGTGTGTGTGTGTGTGTGTGTGTGTGTGCGTGTGTGTGTGTGTGTGTGCTTGGCTAGAATTGGGTATTTTTGTTAATGGTTGTTTGCCTCGATTCGTATTTTGGTTTGGTAGTTAAACTTTTTTTTATGGAACTTACGAGTACTTTGCAAGAGAGATTAAGTTTGGATTAAAATTGGATTTCTTGAACTAAGTTGATATGGTGTTGTTCGGTAAAATTGGGGGCCGTACTTTAGCATTGCTCTAGTATGATTAGCGTGAAATTATCGTTCGTTTTACTCAGCCAGTCCTTGCGTGAGATTGCCAGTGTGCTCGTTAACTGATCGGTTAGTCTGTCTGTTCGTTTATTTAACTGTTAAAGAGACAATCGGTGTGTCGGTCGGTACGCCAGTCAGTTAATGTTTCTTCCCTTGTCTTAGTCTGTCAGTCAGTGTGGTTCTTAGTCTATGCGCCATTCAGTCAACAGATTAGTGTGTGAGTTCATACGTCCGCTTGTGAACCAGTCAGCCAGTCAATCAGTCAGTCAGTTACGTCTGTGAGACCGTGCGTGAGTCTTGAAAGCGAATAAGCCCAGTGATTCACGCATTCTGTGCTTCACTCACATACCTCAAGCACTTACTCACTGACTCAATTACTCTGCTCATTTTAACACAGTTACTCACCTATCAGCCGTCTTCCATGCAATGTTATTTCTACTTATTTTATTTTATTATTTTTTATTATATATATGCATCTGTGTGTGTGTGTGCGAATGTGTGTGTGTGTGTGTGTGTGTGTGTGTGTGTGTGTGTGTGTGTGTGTGTGTGTGTGTGTGTGTGCGTGTGTGCGAGTGTGTGTGTGTGTGTGTGTGTGTGTGTGTGTGTGTGTGTGTGTGCGAGTGTGTGTGTGTGTGTGTGTGTGTGTGTGTGTGTGTGTGTGTGTGTGTGTGTGTGTGTGTGTGTGTGTGTGTGTGTATGTATGTGTGTGTGTGTCTGTTAAGATACTTAGATTTTTTTTATTGGACTTCAGTTGTTGTTTTATTCTTTCTTTTTTTGTTATGTTTTGTTAAAGCCTATCGTTGGCAAGACAAGCTGAGGCATGAAGGTTTGGTTATATTATATTTATTCCTTGTGGTGATGACGTCAGCCGGGAGAAGAGGTCCAAGCTATGAAAGCGACCCTTGGACTTTTATGCTTGTTCTGTATGTTTTCTTCTTCTTTCTCTCTCTCTCTCTCTCTCTATCTATCTTCTCTATCTCACCCTCATTCTCATTCTCACTTTCAGCCTCAATATCTCTCTCTCTCTCTCTCTCTCTCTCTCTCTCTCTCTCTCTCTCTCTCTCTCTCTCTCTCTCTCTCTCTCTCTCTCTCTCGCTCCCTCGCTCCCTCGCTCAATTCCCTCCTTCCCTCCCTCCCTCCCTCCCTCCCTCCCTCCCTCCCTCCCTCCTTCTCCCTCTCCCTCTCCCTCTCCCCCTGGAAAGGAGAGGGAGATGCAGAGTTGGAAGGAGGGGACGAGAAGAGGGAGGGAATACAGAAGGACAAGGGGAAACGGGAGAGTAGAGGAGAGGGGAGGAAAGTTTGAGGAAGAGAAAGGAGGAAAAGGGAAAGGGGAAAGGGAAACGTGAGAGGAGATTTGGAGAGGGAAAGAGAGAGGGAGAGGGAAGGGATTAAGTGTAAGAAACTAGAGGGATAAGGAAGAGTGGAGGAAGAGGGAAAGGGAAGGAACTGGGAAGGAAAATGGGGGGAAGGGAGAGAAAAGAATACA